AATTTCAAATTTGTGTAAATGAATTTTAAATATAAGAACTATATTTTAAATTTAAAATAAATAATTTATATTACAATTCAAAAATATATTTATTTATTGATGATTTATTTAAAAATACTAAAACATAAATTAAATTAGATAAAAATTTAAAAATTATAAATACTTCTATTAAAGAATAGTTCTAAAATATGTGTTTAATATATAAGAGTTAATTTGATTGAGAAAATATATCAATTTTTTACCTAACGTTTATTAATACAACTCAAACACATATAAAATTTGCAACCGTTATTTCAAACAAATTTCCGGTGGGTCACACGATCCTATGGAGTTTTCATCAGTTTTCAAACACATTGAAATGAAATTTTACTTATACAAAATATTAATAAAAAAAACATAATTAAAATATAACCAATGGTACACGATGAAACTGCACACCCTGCAATTATACTTCCAACCATATCCCATTTCCAGTTTTGTTTATAGATCTTTAAGTACAATAAAAAATCGAATTGAAATCTTTATATTTCACCCTATCGCTATCAAATAATGAAAATTGAATTTAATATTTTATTTTGGTGTGATTTTAGAAAGTGAAACTACAAGAAAAGATTTGTCATATAATGACACACACCATATAGTAATATAATAGTGTCATTAAAAATTATTTTTACTTACACAATAAATATAATATATGTTGATATATTGTTAAAAAGTGTTGATATAAGTTATAGTGACACAGATAATATATTATTAAATTTCATTCAAAATTAATATTAAAATTGTGTGTAACTATATGTCAAATAGATATATACGTACATATATTATACTTATAGTGACACTTTTTGTATGTCATTATATGTAACATTTCTTGGAGTGAAAATAAGTGTGAATGAAAATTTAAATTTTATGTTATCTAAAAAAATGAGAAATCAGAAAAGAGAGAAAACATTCATGGCGCATATTAAAAAAGAATAGTCTCCTAACATGAGGATTTAGTGGAATAAGTGGATTGAATAAATTGTGAAACCAATTATAATCGAAGAGATATATTTACCTTTTTAATTGTTTTTATAAATATGAATTAAAGAGTAAAATAAGGCAACGATTAGAAAGGAACATCCAAGTTAGAAACACAAGTTTCCGTTGGTTCAAATCCTTTGATTGAAAGAAAAAAATTGCATTTCAGACGGTAAATTCAAAGAAGAAAGTAAATCAACGATACCAAAATCCATTTGATTTTTGTTGCAAGAGCATGCTCTAATAATTGATTTTACCATAAAAGAAACAAAACCAAAAATATATATCACTGTGTAGCAGAAAATGTGTAAAAAAAGATGCATAACGAATATCAGAAAATCGCAAAGCATGTGAGTGATTAACATTTTTGGACCCAATAAGAAAGCATTAAAATTGGGGAAAAAGCATTTGTGACTTGTGAGTGCAAAAACTCGAGCCTCGTTAGCTTGTAAAGCCCAAAGATTTAACTCTTATATTTTGGATGCAAGAAGGATTATAGAGTTAAATTCATTTTTATCATGAGTAAAATTTATTTATATATATA